TAACGCAGAAATACTTTAGAGCCTAAGCTGACATCTTTTTTTTTTATGTGGATATTTTTGTCTAAAACCCCAAATAATCATTGATAATTATATAAAAGAGAAGAGCAGGAAAACACACTTTCATTCATTGATCTTCTTTGCTTGATAACTGATTCAAACATTTAAACTGTATTAACAGCCGCACGTCTGTTTGATTCATCTGCTTCCCGTACTTTCAGCAGGAGGTTTCTGATGTAGTTTACATCTCAGGTTCTTCTCCATAGGGAAGTGGGCTTGGCTCAAAATATGGCCAAGTGCATTGGGCTTTCTACTTCACACAGCGTGACTCACTCAGAAGGGTTTCCCCCAATTACTGCCGTTCGTTCAGATTATCCAAGTTGCGTGCTTTAATTAGGGTATTTCCTTAATGTATGCAGCACTTCTTGTTAATTTGCTCGGTTCATGAAATCAGTTCCAGTGTAGTTATTGGCTAAACGCTGATATTTACTGGTTCGTCAGAGGAAAAAATGTGTCACTCAGTCACGCATCTTTATATTCTCAATTTTTTTTAAACCTCCCCTTTCGGATTTATGATTTGAGCCAACATCTCTCAAACTGACATATGAAGGGGGGTTGGAGCGGAGGGGTAGTCTCATATTGTCCTGAACACGATAAAGGTTTTTGACAGATTCCGTAAAGTCGAGTGATTTAATTAACAACTTGTCTTTTCTGCCTTTTCCTTTGCTTTCACAGTAAATGATGTGTTAAGTGGAGCTCTCGCAGACCAACTCATGTTCTACCTCTGTTAACAGCGAGTAAAGATTTAAGGGGCCGTTTTATAGTTTTTGTATTTAGCAGCTGCAGAAAATCTGCTGTCATTAAAACAGCCGTTGACTGAACGCTGGCTTCACCAAAACATTTGATATTTTATAAGATTTTTTAAAATATAAACTAGGGAGGAAATTCAATATCATCCGAGCACGGTAGACAGTTCCTACACTGAATATTTCCAGTCTAGCAACATGCCGCTAAGTGTGTTTCCAGATGCCTGGCAGGTAGCATGAGTGTCAGTGTGAGTGACCAGCGGTGGTCGCTGGGCTGGATGATACTGACCATCTGTGTGTATGTTGTGTGTGTGTATGTGCAGCTCCCCGCAGACTTCAGCCGACTTCACCTGGCCGACGGCTTGCACCCACAGGTGACCCACGTCTCCTCCAGCCACTCAGGATGTAGTATCACCAGCGACTCTGGAAGCAGCAGCCTGTCAGACATTTACCAGGTAAGGCCCCCCCCCCTCCCCCCCCCACACCCAAACGTGGTGCTGGACCCCCCCTCCCCCCCACCTGGACTCCCCTGGATAGTTGAGTAGGTGCAGTAGTAGTAATAAAGAAGTTTCCTCTGTGGGGCTCGGGTTTGTAATGTTATTTATTTACACCCTTAAACATTAAGTATCTTTAAGCTGCTTTCACACATGAGCTGAAGTCCAGAAAAAATGATTCCAGAGGGAATGTGTATGTGGGAACGTCCGGGTCAGCCAAGGTGAGAATGCAAATGTCCGGAGAATTTAGAGAGAGAGCAAGTGAGCGTGTAGACGATGTTGATGACGAATAAAAATATCTCTGGATGAAAAAGTGAAACACGTAGAAGAAGTCGATGGAGATCTCACTTCTCAATGATCCGCCCTGGTGCCATCCCCCACCTGAATGTTCCACACATGTACCTGTTGTTGGGAACGTGTCTGCGGCGGACAATCACATGTAAAGACAAATTCATTTTCAGGACATTTTCCAAAGTTCATGTCTGGAAACGGCTTTAAAAAAAAAAAAATCCTTCAACACTTTGAGAAATACCTTTATTCTCTTTCTTCCCTCAGGTTACATGACACCACTCATAGCAGTTAGCTTAGCTTGGCTCAGCGTTTTTGATTTGAATGGCACGCTTTAAACAAATCCAACTAAATTGTGCTGCTAGTTTAAAGCACAAACACATCTGAGTGGGGTTGTAACCAAATACAGAGCGTGTAGTTGAACTATATATTTTCTAGTACGATGTGTGAATAATGTGAAATCTCAGTGGATAAGTTAGGTAAGAGGGTCAAACTGATATTAGTCTCATTAAGTAATAATAACACAAGATAAGCAGCATTAATGAGACGTGCAGTTTTATGGTAAAATAAACATAGACAGAATCAGATTAGCATTGCTGGAATTTTTAATGAAAATAAAACACTTATTAATCACAGTCAAACAAAAATAACTGGTCTGGCAGCTTCAACCCCCCCCCAGTGGTAACTACAACACAATTCAGCTCAGAAGAACACACACACACACTCACACACTCATTCTTGTGACTGTGGACGTGCCCCAAACCCTGCAACTAATCCTCTTAACATAGCACACCCACCCCATTGGCTCCCAGTGGCGTCACCTGCTGTGAGCCTCTTTATGTGTGTGTGTGTTTGTCTGTGTGCTTGTGACTGTGCTCAGGGGCATCAGTCAGAATCCCTTCATTTTGTCCAGACTTATTCCCGGCTCGTGTTTGTGTGTGCAGGGGCGTTAAATTGTTTAAATGCAGCTGTATAGTTGTGTGTGAGTGTACGAGTGAGCACTACTGTGTGAGTGTGTGTTATTGTGTGTGTGCTCGGCCATGCTGTCGCCGGCTGGGGCAGGTTGAACAGGCTCTACTGTCCCCTGTCTGTGATCCTGGTCTTACAGCCATCTGCTCGCAGCTCTCTGGCAGTCCCCTGATATCTCTGTCTCTGAATCACACACACACACTCACACACTCACACACGAACTGTCCCATTTATCCTCGTTTGCTGGAACCCTGCACACGCAGCTTTTCTCGAACCTGTATTGAAACCTCTCTCCTTGTTCTTGTTTACCGGTTCTACTCAAACACCTCGCTGTAACTTTGTTTTGTTCTCGACGTCCTAATCTTTTCTTCCTGGTCACAGTCTATAAAATCTCTCCTCTCAGCTCACTGGTGATCTGTGTGTGTGAGTGTGTGTGAGTGCTTGTACGACCTCTACCAGGAAAGATTTGTTGTGTATCCTTTCTGTGTTTCTGTGTTTCAGCCTCACAGTCCTGTCTTAAATCTGTCTGGTTTAGAGCTGAAACGATTAGTCAGCTGGCAGAAACTGAATCAGGAGTTATTTTGATCTATCCGGTAAAAACCTGAGTCCTGTTTAAAGAAGAACATTAGCTGCTTTAAGTTCCTTAGATTTCAGCATTCCTTCTGTTTGTTATTTGAGTTTGTCAAACTGTCTTTTCTGACATTTCACAGAAGAACGATTCATCAGAGCAGCTGTTTATCTCAAGACCTCCGATGGTAACTACTGCTCCACCACTAGTGACCATTAAATGGTAGAAGTTGAATAAAGATCGGTCGTTATCAGTATACAGGGATAAACAACTGATCACGTTAGATTCAGCAAACAAACTGTGTGAGTGTCTAATCATTAAAACCTGAGGATTAAAATTCATCAGTTTGTTTAATGCAACATGACTTTTTTTATGGTTAGCTAAAGTTGCACCCTGCAGGTTTCACATCTAATAATAAAGTTTGATAGATTACCAGAGATGTTTGGGGGTGTTTTGGAATAAACACATCACAGGAGGCCTGGTTCCTTCCACTTGAGGCCGCAGGAAGTCGGTGGTACAAAGAAACATGGTGGTATAAAAGTTTAATCTTGGTCTTCAGCGTTTAGCCTGTGCTGGTGTGAAGAGTTGCTGAGCAGATAGCGGGTGTGGAGTTTTTTTTTTTTTTTCTTAAACCTCTGGACTGCTCTGATCTCAACAGCCACTGCTGCCCTCCACAAGTGAAGCACCACATGAAGAGTCCCACATCGCTCTCACGTCACTGCCAACATGGCGCACTGTTTTGTGTCTGAATAAATCATGAAATTGGTCCTTCAGAAGGACTTTGAAAGCATTGATCCAAGAATAGCGTTGATGAAATATTAACAGCACCTGACTTGCCGACTGACTCTTAATGCTCGCTGCATATTTATGGATTTTTGATGTATACATGACACGGAAACGAGACCGACGAAGACAAAGACTCACAGGCAACTTTTGTGTGAATGCATCACGCGGCTCACAGACGTTAACAAGGCGTCTCCATGTGGAAGGCTGAGCATTTGTTTTGTACCCAAATGAATACTGTACGCATCCTGACTTTGTTCTTTAATATATGTTGTGTAGAGTGTGTATGCCATAAATGTGCGACTTGGTTTGTGCGACATTTTCAGTTCTGGGCGGAGCGTATGTGTTGCAGGTGCTTTTGATGCCATGTATGTTTTAGTTTCTTTGTTTGAGTTAAAGATCAGAAATGCAACACTGCTTTTATTGTTCCCTGCTCGATCTGTGTCCGTCCACGCCCACATCCTCTGTGCAGTCCCTGTCCCAGCCCCACCAGCCAGGGTGTGTGTGCACCGGTGACGCCCCGATGGCCACTCAGACACTGGCCTGAATCATTGATGAGCCCTTTTCACATGGCATTTGAAGAGAAATGACATAGGGCTTCGGTGAGAGACGGGGTACGAGGACTCAGGGCTTTGAAAAATTAAAAGCCAACTGACAGTCTGTGAGGTGAAGATGCGTCTGGCTCTTGGATTTTGCGGACAGCTTGTAAAGACGACCTTTTCTTCACTTTCTATTAAGCGGCCCGACTACGCCGAGGTAAGAGGGTTCGCTGTGGTTGGTCGTCGGTACAGATGCTTGTTTTTATCACTGCTTTGGTTTATTCTGAGAGGGTTTCATGTTGTGAACCAGGCAATGCGGCCACTCGGTCGTTTGCAGACGTATTTTCTTCGATGATAGCAGGGACCCTCTATTGCTCATGCACAAGTATTTGCATTACTTTGGTTTCTCATCTCAGTTCTTTTCACTGGTTCCGCACATGTTTCATCTTGTGCTTTCAAAGAACAGGATCTGGCTGTGAGGCAGGCGCTGGAGTTTGCTGAGGAGAAGAGAGGGAAGTTGGGAGTTAATTAGCTTGGTACCGTGCACAGCCGACTGTTTGGTATGGAGTGTTGAAGACTGACTTTCTCATACATTACTGAATACCTCTAATCATTTTCATGAAATGGCTCAAATGTGCAGTTTCTCAGAAGGTCTTTTTTTGAATTTTGTCTTTTACTTTTTGGAAAATGCGGTGTGTCGCAGCTGATGTTTGTAATGTGTGATTTCATTGGTGTGCACTGGATGTGCCTGCACCTCTGCTTTCACTGGCTGTTTACACATTCTGCTCTGTAGTTCGTGGAGTCGATCACGAGTTTGGTGTCTGGCTTTGTCAGCAGCTGCCAGTTTTTGAGATGAACATGCAGGTGATTTGTTGTCTTGCTCAAAGACGCTTGCAGAGATTCAAACTCTCTCTATGGTTGTGTTTCCAGCCGGCTGTATTTTACCAACCGCTGACGTTGGATGGAGAAATCCCTCCCTATGTTAATCAATAATCAATGACCATTCCTTGTTTGTTTCCCTCTTCGTAGGCCACAGAGAACGAACCCGGTGACATGGACCTGAGTGGCCTGCCGGAGACCGCTGTGGACTCCGAGGAAGAGGACGATGAGGAGGATATCGAACGAGCGTCGGACCCCCTCATGAGCCGGGACATTGTGCGTGACTGCCTGGAGAAGGACCCGATGGACAGAACCGATGATGACATAGGTGAGCGCCCGGTCAGGAGTTTCTTTGTCTGTTATTGCTCGTGCCGCAAATGATAAAATATACTGAATAAAAACAGTTTGTGTCAGGCTGCAGCTTATAAATAGCACTATTGCAAATACATTTATTTGGCTTTGTGGTGCAGTTTATTTTAAAATAGTCCGTCTATTCCTGTGCAAACCTGAGAGTTCAATGTTTACAAGACTTCTTTAGAGAACGATAGGATTTGAAGATGTCACTGTAAAACACAGAGCTGCTCTCAGCTGGGACGGAACTCGTCCCAGTTTACGATTAATTCAGTTCCCTGTAAAAACCGCACCCTCTCACCCCGTCTTATTTAAATCGGTCACAGCAAATTTACATTTGTCTGAACTGCTCTCATTTACAACGCAAGCTTTCGAGTAATTCTCAAAGCCACATCAGGCTCGCTGTATCGTATCCCTGAAAGCTATGATGACTCAACTCCAACGATAATGATAGGCATGTCGAATGAAAAATGGAAAGTACACACTCTCGGAGTGTAGCTACAGATGTGGGCTGGAGGAGGATGATGCATTGAATGTAGAGAGAGTAAAAACCAGTGCCAACCCCCTCCCCCTCCGCTCGCTCATGCCCCCCCCCCCCCCACTGCCGGCAGGCTTTTCTAGGTCACTCCGGCACATCCTCTCGCCTCACCTCTCCCAGCACATTAAACTTTCAGTGCTTCCACAGCTTCACACACGACGCTGTTGCCATGCCAAGCACAGGTCAGCCTGAACGCCAGACTGCTGCTGGGCCGCCGCCGGTGGAGGAGAGGCTGATGGTAGAAAATACATTTACCAGAATGAAAAGATCAACACGAACATTGGACTGATGCAACTATTTGTATTAATAGATATCTCTAGAGATTCTGAGATACATCTTGAGGTTGCCCGGATCGGTCTAGACATTGTGAGATGCATTTACAGATCGTTGGATATCTCCGCCAACGGTTAGATGATTCTCGATGTGTGTGAAAATGGGTTTTTCTGTGTGAGCAGACAGATTTCAGTTGCGGTTCAGCGTCTCCAGTGAACTCACACAGAGGTCACGGAGTGAAGTGTCAGCAATTATTCTTGGCTCACCCTGAAAGTTTATATCAATGGAATTGATATTTGGCTTGATGTTCTCCTGATAATGATTCTACTGTCGGCTATTCATTGTGGTGATGATCCATTTTGATGCTCAGCCTGCACCTCGTGCCGTCTTGGCTGGAAGTGAGGACGGGTACAGCCGTGCCAAGAGCACTGCACGTCCTCTCTCTCTCCTCTGGGTGTCAAGACTCTGTTTGCTCTATTTTTTTGTTTTTTTACCTCGCTCCACTCACTCCTCTCCTCTCCTCTGTCCCCCTCACAGAACAATTACTGGAGTTCATGCATCAACTGCCAGCATTTGCAAACATGACCATGTCAGTGAGGAGGGAACTCTGCGCCGTCATGGTTTTTGCTGTAGTGGAACGCGCCGGCACCATCGTTCTCAACGATGGAGAGGAGGTTTGTGTTGCTCCACATTTGTCCACATAATAAGCCTGATCTTGTGACATTGTCTTGCCTTCATTTGTATTTATATATATGTGTGTGTGTTTCTATGTGTGTGTCTTCGAACTGCACCGTAGTTTCACATCTTCACGCCAATGAATATCTCTCTTTTTCCATTTGATGTTTTTCTGCTCTATTAAACTCGAATGGCCCGACATCTCTTTATCACCAGGCCTCTGTGGGATCCCTCAGGCAACTAAAGCAGGCATCACTTATTCTCCTTCTCTCTGGTCAGAGCATATCAATGGAGACAATTTGATCGTTTTGCTGTAACGCACTCAAACAATAGAGAGGAGAACTTGCCTCGAAGGCCTGGACACTAACTCTCCAGTCACAGACAATTCAAGGTTCATGGAGTCGCTGTCAGTGTTAAAGCTGTGAATCTTTAAAACGTGGCTTCAGCTTTTCAGGAATCTCAACAAAAAAAAAAGAAGAGTCTCCTCTTTTTAATCAAGCAATTAAGACTTAGAATAATAATTGTAGTGTATTATTTTAGTTATGTTTAAAAGGGCAGTTTTAATATTCCCATGCTATCACTGTATCCCTCAGAGGAAAGTTAGAAACCGTCTGCAGCAGCATTGTGTCGTTACTGCATATGGTTGTTTTTCATTAATAACTTAATTAAGTGACAACAGCTTTTAAGAACATTAGTATGAATTATTTCATCATTTTTACTGTAATCTTTTCTCTCCCTCTGTTTAATTTCGCTTCTTTTCTCATCGTGCTCTCTTCTCTTCTTCAAACATCTAACTACGACCTCCTTGTGTGTTTGTACAGTTGGATTCCTGGTCGGTGATTCTGAACGGTTCGGTGGAAGTCACGTATCCAGACAGCCGGACGGAGATCCTGTGCATGGGGAACAGCTTTGGGGTGTCACCGACCATGGAGAAGGAATACATGAAGGGTGTGATGAAGACCAAGGTGGACGACTGCCAGGTAGGATAACAATATGTTTACGCAGGGCGGCCACGGAGTTCTGTTGAGGTTATCAGCTCAATTTCCTCTTCATCTTGGTGTGAAAATCATGGCATGAGCCGCTTGAACTGAAGGTGTTGGCTTTCATGGAACTCAAATATTCTTGGACAGTAGCATCCTCTTAAATGTTACAGATATTTCGAAAGCAAATCATTTGTCACGTGTAAAGAGAAAGATCAACTTTTTCCACTAAGCAGTGAAAGTAACGACCGAAAAATCACCGGAATAAGAAAATCTTTGCTCCTATTTTGTGAGAGATCCCTTTTTCTATTTTTAGTTTCAAACTTCTGCGTCTAACTCTTGTTCTGCCTGGTCTTGTCTCAGTTTGTGTGTATAGCCCAGCAGGACTACTGCTGCATCCTCAACCAGGTGGAGAAGAACATGCAGAAGGTGGAGGAGGAAGGTGAGATCGTCATGGTGAAGGAACACCGGGAACTGGATCGCACCGGCACCAGGAAAGGACACATCGTAATCAAGGTGAGAAAAAAAAAATACTTTCAGTCAATTTACGTTAATCCAGAAAAACTGTGAGGAGTGCTCGATCAGATATCTGAGGGATTATGTCTAAAAATACACGAACAGGCCTCTGTTATATAAAACTAATATTTCAACGTCAAACCTCAGGGCACACCGGAGCGTCTCACCATGCACCTAGTGGAGGAGCACTCAGTGGTGGACCCCACGTACATCGAGGACTTCCTGTTGACCTACAGGACCTTCCTCTCCAGCCCCATGGTCGTGGGCAAGAAGCTCCTGGAGTGGTTCCATGACCCCAGTCTCAGGGACAAGGTACAGGCAGAAGTGATAATTCAAATATAAGATTAAATACTGGAATTAATTGAATGAACGAGTAAAAAAAAAATGTTTACCCTTGAAAATATAGCACAGGACATTACGTCTACACAACTAGTCAGCCAGTAAACTGTGCGTTGACCTGTGCCGATCATGTGATTGCTCCAGGTTACACGGGTAGTCTTGCTGTGGGTAAACAATCACTTCAATGACTTTGAGGGTGACCCTGCCATGACTCACTTTCTGGAGGAGTTTGAAAGCAATCTGGAGAAAGAAGTAAGTGTTACAAATCCACTTTGATATGCAAAAACTGCATTCGATTCGATTCGTGTGACTTTTCTCACATCTGTGTGTTGTCTTGTTTTTTCTCTCTCCCAGAAAATGTGTGGGCACCTCAGACTGTTAAATATAGCATGTGCTGCTAAAGCCAAGCCGCGGCTGGTGACGCTGACCAAGCCGTCCAGGGACTCCCCTCTGGCGTTCAGCTTGCTCGGAGGTCAGGAGAAAGGTTTTCGCATCTTTATCGATGCCGTGGAGTCTGGGAGCAAAGCTGCGGAAGTCGGCCTGAAGCGTGGAGATCAGGTAAGAAATCTTCACTTTAACCACTTGCATGTAATTTAAGGACGCTGTTACCATCCTGCATTTCTACACGTCTCCATCTTAATCAGTCCACATATACAGTTCTGGGATTTGGATTGGATTTCCTCTTGTATTTAAGCGTTTTGTGTGCAGCTGTCTCAAAAACATTTTTCTTCCAGTTGGCTAAAACTGCGGGGAGGAAACACTCCTGTCACACATACCAGCATTCAAATTCAATGCACTGCCATCCAAGTTCATTTTTGTTGTGAAACCTGTTTTACATTTTGCTCTAAACTCTGAAGTTGAACTCGCCAGGAGCAGCGGGCACCTCGTGTTGGCTTTCTGCTCGCAACTTAAACTCTCAACCGTTTTCACACTCTCCTCATGGCTTTAAGCAAAGTCTCTTAATCCTCGAAACCATCTTGAGAGTGTCTGGATGCGAGTTAAGCCCTCTTGACTCCACAAACATCCCCTGCAGCTGTTTCCCCAAAAGGAAGCAGAGAAGCTGACATCCTTGGAAGCATTCACTCTCTCAGACCCGCTCTGTTACTGTCGTCATTAACTCAGAACATTTCAGAGCTCCAGTTTTAAAGAGAGTGTTAATCTCACATCTCGAGCATTAGTCTCCGTAGTGAACCTCAGCATCTCGCTAATCGCTCCTCATCCCAAAACAAATATTTAGTCCGTCTCTACTTGCAGAAGAGCAGCGGAGGATAGCCGGTACTTAACTTACAGTCAAAGGTGACTTCCTCTTCCACTAAAGAGGAAGCGGTGAAGCCTGGCTGTCAGATTGCTTTTTAAATGCAAATATCCGGCCCCTATACAGAGGTGAGGCTGTAAAGACAGAGACGAGACAATCTGAAGGTGGCGTGGACCTCGTTAATGTCAGAACCATGTGCTGGTCTAAACTCACAATTCATTACCTGCCTTTGTTGACTGAAGAATAAAGTTCGCAGGTCATTTCCCTCAGTTTAAGGTTGAGCACTATTCCGATGCAGCCTGACGGAGGAGTCACTGAGATTTTCTTATCCGCCAGTTTAACATGATACACATGCACAACTAACAAGCCTGACCTGAACCGGACACATATTTCGTTTTTTATAAACGGAGCCGGACCTGAGCCCGATGTTTTCCCCAATGACAGACAGGTTAATAAATCAATGATCATGTGACTAAACCTGAATATTATTAGAACATTTTGTACCGAAGCAGATGGGTCCCAACGGGCTCAGGTATCCACACTCTGGTTCCTCTTATAACAAGGAAGGAAAGTAGAAAGAATCAAATATCTGCAACACAACATTATGGCTTCATACTCACATTTAATTTAACAATAAATATTAATATATATTTATTTAAGACATTGATTCAAATAAAACAACCTGAAAATGAAAAATAACCATGTTCAGACGCCATCGTCTAACTCGGCTGTTTCTCTGAACATCATTCAGAAGATGTGATGTGCGATGGGCAGCTTGTATCTCATGGGTCTCTTCTCTCTGCAGATCTTAGAGGTCAATGGGCAGAACTTTGAGAATGTCCAGCTCAGCAAAGCCAACGAGATTCTGAAGAACAACACACACTTGTCCATAACTGTGAAAACAAACCTCTTGGGTAAGTAATTACATTTAAAATAATCTTTCGTTAACATGAGTCGTCGTTAGCTGCAGTAACACCAACAATACGTCTCATCCCTTCACCTGTTTTTTCCCTCTGACCTCCCCAGTGTTCAAAGATCTTCTAACGAGGCCTGAACACGACCACGACTTGGACGGCGAGGAGGAACACGACAGAAAGAACGGGGCGCCACACCTGCCGAAGATCGGAGACATCAAGAAGGCCAGCCGCTACTCCATCCCCGACCTGGCGGTGGACGTGGAGCAGGTGATGGGCCTGGAGAAGGTCAGCAAGAAGGCGAAGAGCAACTCGGTGGGAGGACGCAACAAGCTGAAGAAGATCTTTGACAAGACGCTCACCAGCATCCTGCCTCCTAAACCATACAAGTAATGAGACATACTTTTTGTGTGGCTTTGCTGATCGCCACCTTGATTCATTTATTTTGAAGCAGACGTACAAATAAAAGAATATACTAGATGATTGTTGTATATTTTAAATTTGTAGGAGGTACTGATTTCATTATCTATTGCAAGGCTGAGTTTTTCTATCTCTGAATCCTCCGGTCTGTTTTTCTACTGAACTACCACAGAGCACAGATCTTAAATGGATGTTTCTGTTCACTGACCCACATGTGCTCCTGTCATAACACCAGTCAACCAGTGTTAGGTGTGAAAAGAATATTTTCTGTGCAGCCAGTGTCCACACCTCGATCCTTACCAGCACAAACATCGCCCTCTGCCTGTTGCTGACAGAACTGCTGCCTCCCCTCCCTCTCTGTCTTGTTTCCATAGTGACGTTTGCGTGGGCCAATCGCAGGACGACAGCATCGTGGGGATGAAACAGTCCAAACAGATCCCACCGGCTCTGCCCGTCAGCGGAAACCTGTCGTCGTCAAACCCCGACCTGCTGCAGTCACACCACCGCATCCTCGACTTCAACAACCAGCCAGGTGTGTTTCCAACTGACAGCAGAAATCACTTCTATATTTATATTTTATTATTGTGGAGCGCGAAACACAGAAAACATTAAGAATATGTAATATAACATATAAAGTACTGTTTCAAGGTGCTTTTCAGATATTACTAGGCAGGAATATCAAATTAATATATATATATATATATATATATATATATATATATGGTAATATTTTATCACAGTACTTTTCTTGAAACGAACCAGTCAGTTAAACAGTTGATTGTCTGTACTTATATAAAAAACTTTGTGTGTCAAGCTGACGTATTTCATCCCACAGTATTTATGTGCAGTCACATCGTTCAGCCCTGCAGCACATTAACTATAACCTCTTTACTTTTCACTGTATCTCTATTAACTCCTGTCCGTCACATGTTGTTTATGTCCCTCCAGCTCCACTTATACCAAGTGAGTATCTTCTTCTCTCCCCGTGATCCTGCTTCTCTTACAGCCAAGTCCTTGTCAACGCTCTCAGCCTCTCTCAAACTAAACGGCATTAATATATTTGCTGTACTTTAGTTTGCAGATGTAACAGAAACTCAATAAATCTGCGTGTATGTTGCGTCACGCTAACAGCACTGCACAGACTGATCTGTCAGCTTTCTGTGGGCACGCGGGAGGTGATTTTAATCGTGGAGACTTGGGACCACATGATTTGTTGGAGTGTGTTTCCAATCAAACTAATGAATGATGGGAAATGTGGTTTGCAGTTGACATCACAATCAAAATGCTGGGACGAATGGCTTTGGCAAAACAAAAGTGACGGGTCTTCTTTTCCCTCCGATTAGCGTTTATCCTCATTGCCATCGTGTGTCGTCCACAGATATGTCTGACCAGGTATTACGAGTCTTCAAGGCCGACCAGCAGTCTCGGTACATCATGATCGGGAAGGACACGACGGCGAAGGAGGTGGTGGCCCAGGCTATCAGGGAGTTTGCCCTGACGGCAGCAGCGGAGGCTTATTCGCTGTGTGAGGTGTCCGTCACGCCAGAGGGCGTCATCAAGCAGAGGCGATTACCAGACCAGCTTTCTAAACTGGCCGACAGGATCCAGCTCAGCGGCAGGTAACGACGTCTTTGGTTTGATCTTCCTTCTCTTTCCTACATGAAGCAGGGTGTTTCGCTTCGAGCCTCCAGAGACCCACCTCCCTCAGTATTGGTCAAATAAAAATAAATAAGTGCTGCAGTTAACAGTAATTGCCATTATTGATTAACCCCGATTGGTCATTTAGTCTATAAAATGTCAGAAATGGTTATTGTATTTCCCAGGACCTCAAGGTGAACTGAAACATGGAAAAGCTGTCTTCTTGATTTATGTCCATCTGTTTTTGAAACAGTGAACTCTCCGTTGTTAACTTGATGGTTTTCCTCCTCCGTTAGATATTACCTGAAGAGCAACATGGAGACGGAGACGTTATGTTCAGACGAGGACGCCCAGGACCTCCTTAGAGAAGGCCAGATCTCTCTGTTGCAGCTCAGCACGGTGGAGGTGGCCACTCAGCTCTCGATGCGGGCTTTTGAACTGTTCTGTGCCATCGAGCCCACTGAGTACATCGACGACCTGTTCAAGCTGCGCTCCAAGACGGGCTCGTTCAGCCTGAAGCGCTTCGAGGAGGCCATCAATCACGAGACCTTCTGGGTGGCCACGGAGGTGACGCGGGAGCCCAACCAGCTCAAACGCATGAAGACCGTCAAGCACTTCATCAAGATCGCCCTGCACTGCCGCGAGTGCAAGAACTTCAACTCCATGTTTGCCATCATCAGGTGAGAGGGAGTAACGGATTTAATCTGCGAGCAAGTTCTGTTTTGGTTTAATCGACTTTTGATGATCATATTTATCGACACGTACGTCAGTTCATGGAAACTGTGCTTCTCTCCACAGTGGTCTGAACCTGGCTCCGGTCTCCAGACTGAGGGGAACGTGGGAGAAGCTACCGAGCAAGTATGAGAAGCTGTTCGGGGACCTGCAGGACCTTTTTGATCCTTCCAGGAACATGGCCAAGTACAGGAATGTCCTCAACAATCAAAACCTCCAGCCGCCAATCATCCCCTTGTTCCCCGTCATCAAGAAGGACCTCACCTTCTTACATGAAGGTAGTTCATCCATCACTATCCTGAATATCAGATCGTGGAGTTCACTTTGTTGGTTCATCGCTTCAGTGTTAAAATAAATACAATAAAAGTCTCAGGCTTTCTGAACGAACAGCGAAATAAGTTCTGACACTTGAATTATTTCAATTTCTGCCTCCTGAAGCGCAGCATTGGCCTCATTATTGTTGCTGTGAGCTCCTGATCAGTTCTGTCAGACGTGTAATCCCTCTTTTCTTCATCTCAGGTAACGACTCTAAAGTGGACGGCCTGGTGAACTTCGAGAAGCTGAGGATGATCGCCAAAGAAATACGCCATGTTGGTCGCATGGCGTCCGTCAACATGGACCCGGCCCTCATGTTTCGGACGAGGTGAAGACAACTTTGAAATACCAAAGGATTTCAGATTGTTATAATGAGTCGCCCCCCCCCCCTGTAGAAGCAGTCAGCACACCTCTGACTAACCGGGCTCTGTTGGGGTTAGCCGGTTCACATAGATTCAGTTAAGATTTCTGCATCACGCTTTTCTTCCAAGCAGCTGTTCCCTCTGGCAACTGTTTCCTCTGGCAACCAATTCCCCCCCCCCCCCCCCCATACACATTGTTGGCATAAGATGTGCACAGTGCTCCCGTGAAAGTGTGTCTTTGTCTAATGATGTCTCTTCCTGGTGGAGTGTTACCATTTGATTCCCTCTCCGCTGACTTTCATGTGGGTGAAATTGCTTCTCTTTGGTGATCTTGGTGGTCTTTCCTGTCCTAAGCTTTGTCTCCCTCTCTCTTTCTCTCTCGACTCATCCACCCTTTGCCCCCCATGCTTCTCTGTTCATGGCACCCGCCCTCTAGGAAGAAGAAATGGAGAAGTTTAGGGTAAGTCTGGTCTCCCCTGCACCACGGCCCCTTTATTCTGCCAGTTTGCGAGCTGCTTTTTTCTTCTTTGTTTCCACTAATCAGTTTGAGTTTAATCCTCCCGCTAACACTGCCTGAGCATAACCAAAGGGCATGAATTTAAAAAAAGGTCACTTTTGCTAACATTATTGTGCACTAGACTATTTTACATTTGACAAACCACAGAAATTGTCCCACATTAGAATATAATATAGAATATTACTGATACAGGCATCTGTGTAGCCCTGCATAGCAAATGTGACCTTTTGATATATGTTGTTTTACCTAACAATATGCATGCAGCTGTATTTTCAGAATGTCGAGGTTTTATCTGTGTGTCAAACCTCCGAACAGCCAGAGATTCTGGACATCAAGTGTTTTTGTCGTGCTTTACATTCTTGTGGTCAAATGGGAAATCACTGCATATGATGGGAAACTTCACCTAAAAAGAAATGGAAACGTTCCCATAATTATCATGTAGCCTCTTGTAATTATGAGAAAATTGTCTTGTAATTTATAAGATGTGTATCTTGTAATTATGAGATAATGAGGACGTAATGACATGAATGAGGTCATGATTATGAGAAAGTTTTCTTCCCGTGCAGAAACTGTGTGTCATGATAAATAATCCACTTTGAAAACACCAGATGAAAACAAACCTTGATAAATATCTTTCCGCTGAGGAGCGTAAACTTGACGCGTCATTGACGAACACTGAAGCCTTTTGTCTTTGTTCCGTTTGACCTGAGTCATGAGCCAAAAAAGACTTTTACTACTACTACAGCCAGCTCTGACTCAAGCCACAGAAATGTAAACTATGACCGTGTTACACTTGTAGAACTCCCCCCTTTCTACTCCCCCTGTTTGGCTTTAAACACACCTCCCTCCTCACCCCTCCGTCCCCACGCTGCCTGGAATGTCTGGAATGTTTCGGTGTTGAGAGGAGCTCCTAAAGCCCCCCCCCCTCTGCATGTCCTTTTTTAAAATGCCATGTCCTACGTGCAGCCCAGTAGCATATCTACATCATACTCACCTGTAGGTTCATTCACAATCTGAAAGCAATATCTAATCCTCTGCCCTCTTCTGTGTTCTTGTGTGTCTCTTCCTGTCTATAAATCCACGTTCCCTCTCTGTGTGTGTGTGTATATGCGTCTGTGTGGCCCTCACGTACAACCAGCTCTCTAAGCCAGGGCAGTGCCAATGCGGCGGTGCTGGACGTCACTCAGACGGGCGGGCACAAGAAGCGGGTGCGTCGCAGCTCCTTCCTGAACGCCAAAAAGCTTTACGAGGACGCCCAGATGGCCAGGAAGGTCAAACAGTACTTGTCCAACCTCAGCCTGGAGGTGAACGAGGAGAGTCTGCAGACGCTCTCGCTGCAGTGTGAACCCTCCATCAGTACGCGTGAGTTTTGCACACGAGGACATAAATATCCCACTTGGGGGACACACGTGTTCCCAGGACTCACAGCCCAGAGACAGACAGGGTGTAACCGCTGTAGTAACGAGACACTCAGACTTACTTACAGACTCATTGGCAGCGAATAAAAATGGCTAAACCACCAGGACAGTTTCACAGGGTTGATGCCAGCTTTACTCGCTGTTAGCTGCTCACAGTTTTCATCCACGCAGCAGAACCAAATGTCCATCACTCTCATAAACTGCACACCAACTTCCTGTCCTCTAATAAATCCTTTTCTCTCTCACCGCTCTCAGTGCCCAAAAATGCCGGTGGGAAACGGCCAGACACCTCCCCGGTCGTGTCCAGAGCTGCCAGTCAACAGAGGGGGCAGTTGGCCAAAGGAAATCAGGCTCTCCAGGTCCCTGCCGTGGCACTTTACCCATCCCGAAAGAAAGTGCCAGTCAAAGATCTACCACCTTTCGGTAAGATCAAGATTTAATGGGTACAACCAGTACTTCAGGTACACTAATATTACATCTCATGGTATTTGACAAGTTATTTCATGAGAGCACAGAAGTTTTCTCATTTCGGTCACTTTCACATCTGCAGTGTTTGCTCCAGATCTTCAGTCTGAGCCTCACGATCCAAAAAACAAGGGACCAAAATGTAGTCAGAACAAAAGAGGCGGAAAACTGAACCGTGGTTTGATCAGTTTGTGAAAACTCTGCTTGTAGTTGATGATGAGGACGTTAAAAACGGACAAAGTCAGACACACGGAGTCCACGAACCAGCGTCAGGTGCACGCAGCCTGAGTAGATGATGACAGGACGCTGATGTTCTCATTCAAGAGTCTGGAGTCCGCTCCCTGAATCACAAGGTCAAACCAGAACAACGCAGCAAAGACAGAGCCTTGGTTCAGACAGCTGTGAAAACACCCTGATAGGGTTTTGTGTTAAGAAATGTCTCAATATATATAAATATAATAACTCAGTTAATTAAACCAGAATACATGTGAGAAAGAAATTAAATCTCTGATTGAATTCAGCTTTGTCTTTAAAGATAAAACCACCAGTACAGAAATATCTGAGCATCTTTCTTTTCTCCTGACGACAGTGTGATTATTGAAAGAGTGAAAATAATCCTGTATAAATTAAACCTTCCATCTTCCCCTTTCTTTCTTTCTCCTCCACAACCTGTTATTTCAGACGACAGCAGAGGCAGCCCTTTCTTAGCCTCGGTCTTTACGGCAGTGCTGCCTCCTAGAGGCTGCCTGGCGACAAGCTTATAGAGAAAACAAATCCCAGACAAAGCAGTTTAGCATCCCGACAGCCTCGGGGGGGAAGTGGCATCGTTCCGCATGCTAATTCTGCTCATCTTCTCGCTCATGTCCACAGGCACCAGCTCTCCGCAATCTCTGAAGAAGATCCTGTCACTGTCGGAGGAGGCGAGCGACAGACACCGGAGGCAACCAGAGGACACAGTGTCCAACGCCTCCTCCCAGCTCTCCTCCCCTCCCACCTCCCCCCAGAGCTCGCCCAAGAAGGGTAAGTAAGCCAATAATCCTACTACCCCTCCCTCCCCCCCTCTCTCACACCACTCCTCAAACTCCCTCTCTCTTACATGATGTGCAACCAGTGCCACCTGGTGGTCGCCTTGATGAATTAAGTTTCAGAGTGGTTGAAATCTTAAAACCAAATGAATTCATTCTAACAATAAAGTCATCGAATCAGTGGGACTTTATTGATATGAAATACATTATTATATATTTATGTATGTTAGCAGCTGCTTAGAAGTTATGTCACCTCGTTGTATCTGATCCGGGTCAGTCGGTGCTTCCTCCGACTCCTGTTAACGTCACATCTTTACATTTAAAGCTTCTTCCTTTAGACGTTCCCTCGTAAATTCAGACTCAGAAGGATAAACAGAAGAAAAAGAAGAGGTTGTTGAAATATGACCTTGAGACTTGGGTGGAATATTTTTCACATTTAGTTTTAAGTTTAAAAGATTTCTTCTTTTCTTTGTTTCAGGTTACAACAGGATGGGCGACGCCTACTCAGACTCTGGTCACAGTGAGATCTCGTCTCGCTCCAGCCTCGTCAGTAACTCCTCCTTCGACATGGCCCAGGAGGAGAGGAGGCTCCGTCACTCCGGAGGAGTCGGGGAGTCTCACATCGTGGGAGCACGGCTGGAACGAAGAGCCACCACTGAACCCGACCAGTACAGCCTTGGGTAGAGACACTTAGAACTCAATTTGAAAATATCTGTTTCTCTCTCAGGTGAATTAAGGTGAAGTCTAACGTTTCTTGTCTTTTCCTCTCACAGGTCATATTCATCGATGCAGGACTGTCGGGGGATTTACGCCGGCTGCCCCACGGTGCTCTCCTCGCCCAGCTCAGAGGAGCTAACTCAGGATCAGGGCGACCGCGTTTCACTCGACGCTGCAGACAGCGGCCGCGGCTCCTGGACTTCGTGCTCCTCTGGTTCCCACGACAACATCCAAACAATGCAGCAGGGACGTAGCTGGGAGACTCTGGCCTTCGGTGGAGGCGGAGGTGGCATCGTAGGGCTCCCCCCCGGCGGACCAGAGGCCTTTTTGGGAGGACCTGCAGCACTGTGGGCGGCGCAGGCCAGGGGGAGCTGGGCGTCCGCCAGCTCCTCGTCATCCTCCGCCGCGTACTGGGGAGAGGACTCTGAGGGGGACACCGGCACCATCAAGAGGAGAGGAGGGAAGGACGTCAATGCTGACCCAGAAACAAGTAGCATCACATCCACCGGGTCAGAGGAGGCCAAGCAGCTTGGCCGGCCGTCTCCATCACCCATCACCGCTGGGGGTAAAGGCCTCATTTGTGAGTGATTGCATGCAGCAGCCCAGTTGCTTTAGTCGCTCATTCTGGGGGGGGGGGGTGCAGGAGGACAGATAAAAGTTAAACCCTCGAGTGTCCTGTGACCCAGAGGTTCCAGGTCCTACCTTCAGTCTGTTGTGTTTTAAACCTGCCTTCATCGTCTTCTCTTTTGTGTCCACTCAGCACGAAAAGAAGGCCGATACCGTGAGCCTCCCCCTACCCCCCCTGGCTACACGGCCCTGACCATCACCGACCTCGCGGAGGGACAGCATCCGGCTCCGTCTGTCCCCACGACAACAGCGATCCACTCGGGCCGCCGGCCACCCGACTACACAACGGCTCTGCAGCGCTCGCGCATGGTCACCCAGTCCCCCGACTCCCACCAGGCCCAACAGGGGGCAAAACAGCGGTCAGGCGGCCTCCACCGCACCTGCTCGCCAGCCGAGGACCAAGAGCCCGATGAGGAAGAGGAGGGTGAGTCCTTGTCTCCCAAACTAGTCGCTCTGAGGAAGCCAAAGCGAGTGGCACAACACACACCCGAGACTCCCAGACCATGAGAGTGTGTGTACGGGGGTTAACAGGCAGGGCCCCTCCCCCCGAGGCAGGTAAAAACTAATTTATCAGGTTGCCCCTCCCCCCCCCCACCCCCCTCTCCATTCCAATGAACCTGCATGTGAACAGGAACACACACTTGGACTGAGACTGACCATTCCCTCACACCAGCTCGCACCGCACCAGTAGGACCAGTCCCATTTCAAATCTCAATCTTCTGCCGGTTGAATGTCAGAACCATTTGTTCACTGGGACCCTCCCCTTTAACTGTCATCATGCATGAGTCATCCTGGGTGGATCAGACCCCACGCACTCTTTCCTCTCACCTCTCACTCACTGTGCCGAGCAGCATCCATCAGCGGGCACGGGGCCGACAGGGTCCTCTCACCTCACGCAGTCTAACTCAATGCCTGAGAACGTGCACCTCCATTCTCCTGCACCCACACGCACCTGACCCGCCTGCACCGGCTCAGTTCTGTGATATTGTAGTTTCTCGTGTCCAGACGTGTCGACCCAACAGTTCTAACCGTGACAGACTCCTGATGATCTCGAGGTTATTTCTCATCTTCTTTCATCAACAGTGGTTCATAGAGATGAAACGTTTATAAGACGATAATCAAATACGACTCAAAACAGTTAAACCATCACAGTGAAGATTTTAATTTAAGAACCGAACTTTGATTCTGTGAGAAAGTTAACGAATATTTATTGAAATTAAATGTTGCTATCGAGCTTCTACTTCTGACTGAAGCTGATGATGATACTCAAATATATTTATAATTTATCCTAAGACGTCGTTCTCAAACCCAAAATCTATATTTTACAGTTGAACCATAAACTTTATACAAACAAATATGTAGAACTTAAATTCAAATTTCTTGAAGCATTGTTTATTCTGTCAGATAAAAGTTTGAATATCAGCAGATTGTTATTGATCCACCGATGAGTGAGTCTGGCTCCTCCTCCTCCGACCCTCGTCCCTCACTGGCTCCTCCTCCTTGTGTTCACAGCTGTGAGTTTTTAATGAACCGAAGAAAAGACAAGAAACCACATCAGGGGATTTATACATTTTAAACAGAAATGTTCAGCCGTAACAAAAACCTGTAGGTTTATCTGAATGATCTGTTTTAGTCAATAATCCAGTGAACATGGGGACGCTGACGGGCCAGTGACAGAGCGGTGGACGTCAGAGTAATAAAATAAATCTGATTGAGTAAAACCAGCGGGGACTCGTCAAAACTCTTCATAAATCATTTGTCTATAAAAGACAGAATGAAATCGACAAAGCGTCTTTTGTCTCTGTCAAGTTTCAAGTCGCTCCAAGTTGATTTTCATCGCGCGCCGACGTGAAGAGGAGGCAGGAAATCAATCTGAAGAGTGAGCGCTCGCTTCGGGGAAACGTCTGACAGCAAATTACACGAGATTCATGTGTTTGACCTGAAAGAAAACTTCACTGTTTGAACTTTCGCTCGAGTAAACTGCTCACTACTTATTGAACTTTATGAAGGAAGACGTATCTGTGGTGTGTAACCTCTGACCGTCTCTGTCTTCTCTCCACAGAGGACGAACAGGTGTCCGCGGTGTGAGGGACCACAGTGGACGTCCTTTTGCAGTAACTTGAAGTCCCCCTGGTTCGGGGTGGGCAGGATTAACAGAGACAGACCAATAGACTTCATCATCAGTTACATACGTGCCTGCCTCCTCCACTCGGTGGACTCCTCTGCTCGTCTCCCTCCCCTGCCTTAAAGCATCATGGGGGGTTGAAAGACCCTGCATGCAAAAAAAAATACTGTGAAGAAGAAGAAGAAGAGGAGGAGGAGATGGAGAGAGAGAGAGCGAAGGTCAAAGACGATGACTTCATGCCTGGCACTTTGGAAACAGACTACAGAATCATAACTGGCGTCGGGGGAGGTCGACCTGGACGCACAAACACACACGGAACCACAAACCTGTCGCTGTTAGAGACGGGATCCGGCTCCGCAGCGACCGCACCCAGTGACAGAATAACCTGTTAACACAACTTCATCATGACGCGTTGAGCTTCATCTGCACTTTCTCATTTTCTAGAACAAACCAGACTGAAGACGGAGAGAAGCAACGGTTGACTTGACTCTTAATTTTCTTAACTTCCCTCTAGATTTCTCCTCTTCCGTCTCGTCTCTTGATTTAGTTTGACTTGTTGCACTCTGGAGGCCGAAACAGGAAAAAGAGAAACCAGGTGGGCCGAGCGTTTCTCTGCCTGGACTGAAAACAACCCGTCTGTCGTTGACTGTTCGAACTCGGAAATCCAGTATTAACTCGTGTTTCACATGTGGACGTTTATCAAGTGTTGGTTCAAGTGGAAGCTCAACATGCACAGTGAACCGACACACTCACACACACACACACACACAAACACAAAGACAGTGGATTTATTACAGATTTAGCACTTTCAGCACAATCCCAGATGGTCCCAGACGTTTGGCCTGGACGCCAGGGTATGATCCAACCACGTCATCCCGCCTCGGAGCTCGTCTCGGTCATATCGCTCTTTCCTCCTCGTCCTTGCTGTTACATCCAGAGCGTGCGCCTCTTGTCACTCGCCTGTCGGTGATATTTCAAAATAAGCACATAGAGCGCCCACTGAAACCTGAGGGAGCGCTTCGGTTTCTGTAAAATCATGAAGAAGCAGCAGCAGCAGCAGCAGCAGCAGCAGCAGCGGAAACGACAGACGCCTGTAGATTCGCCCTGTTTTCCTGTGTGAGGTTCGGACGCTCGCTGGATTTCTCATCATGTGTGAATCAGCGTTGAAACTCAGCGAGCGCTCACTGACCTCGGAGCAGTTGCCTCTTTATTTTCGGGGCGGAAAGGGATCAAGCAGGGTAGTAAACATCAAGCAGCTGCCGACGTGTAAATTATGAGGGTAGCTCAACTTTTACAAACAAATCTTGTACAGAGTCTTATGATACACACGCATTTCCTTTCAAAATAAAAGTACCCACGAATCGAGATTAGGCTTTCTTTTCTCCCCCGTCAACTTTTTTGGGTGAATGTCCAAAGCGCCTTACGATGCCATGATTGCGTACATTTCTTTACGTGCTCGTTCTCGTCACGAATCACCTTGTTTCAAGAGCGGCTCTTGAATCGAGCAATAGTGGAGTGAAAATGCCTTATTCAAGAAACTTCCCTCGACGTTTAAGACTCAGTACAAGATGAGGTCAGACATCTTTCTTTCTGTTACGTGGCTTCGGACGGCACCGTCAGATCACGGTCGATCTGTTCGTCATCTGCTGTCGGAGAAAAAACCCTCTCACATGTTACAGACGTCAGAGGAAGCTGAATATTTATCGTCCGGCCTCCCGTCGTATCTCGCCACCAGAGGAAGTGGCTGAACTTTTTTTCTTTTTTTTTTTTTTGGACTCCTGTGGGGAAGCTGACAAATGAAGAATTTTTTTTTTTTTGCCAATCAGAACGATCAGATTTCCTTTTTTCTTCTTCTATCACTGATTCGCACTGATCACATTGATCAGTCCTGGAAACTACAGACTGAGAAAACAAAAGATGAATGAGTGCAGTGGGGTTTTTTTTTACACTGTGTTCGGTGAATACATGAGAATCATTTCCGGGGGGTGGGGCGGGGGAGGGGAGGGTTCCTTTTGTTATTGTAATATATGATTTTTTTTTCTTTTTTTTTGTAATGGCTGCAGATAGATTGTTAATAATTTGTTTGTATTACAGTGGTGACATGCATCATTCACTTTCATTCAACTCTGAAGATAATGTGCATATTAGCGGGCCGAGTCCTATTTCGAAAAACAAAAAGTTGCACAAAAATGTACAAGCGTAAAGATAAAGTGTAGTGGGTAGAACTGCTACTCTGTTTGATGTGTGATGTCAGTGAGAAATGTACATTTAGCTGGTGATGACCTTCTGTTCTTCATTCTTTCTCGTACTGCTTCCTCCTGTATGTCTTTTAAAAAGACAATTGGTGGAGCATGTATCGGTTGTTTTTGTATTTTTAATACAATAATTGTAAATATTGGTTATATTTTTGTTCAAATGTACTATGTTTATGCCTCAACATCCAGTTTATATGAAGCTGGGAATCAATAAATACTGCATAAAGAATCAACACCTAGGTTTAAATGCACTTATTCATTTCTTCTGCATTTTGATGTCTTTCTTTTTTTAAATTGTTTTTCCTT